CTTTAAATTGGCTTCCGTACCTAATGACTGGAAGGGAGCCCACGTGACACCAATATTTAAAAAGGGCTCTAGATGCGATCCTGGCAATTACAGACCGGTAAGTCTAACTTCAGTACCGGGCAAATTAGTCGAAACAATAGTAAAGAATAAAATTGTGAAGCATGTAGAAGAACATAATTTGTTGGACAAAAGTCAACATGGTTTCTGTAAAGGGAAATCCTGTCTTACTAATCTATTAGAGTTCTTTGAAGGGGTTAACAAACATGCGGACAAGGGGGATCCAGTAGATATAGTATACTTGGATTTTCAGAAAGCCTTTGACAAGGTCCCTCACCAAAGGCTCTTGTGTAAATTACATGGCCATGGGATAAGAGGGAAGGTCCTTTCTTGGATTGAGAACTGGTTAAAAGACAGGAAACAAAGGGTAGGAATAAATGGTAAATTTTCAGATTGGAGAGGGGTAACTAGTGGTGTACCCCAAGGGTCAGTCCTGGGACCAATCCTTTTCAACTTATTCATAAATGATCTGGAGAAAGGGGTAAGCAGTGAGGTAGTAAAGTTTGCAGATGATACCAAACTGTTTAGGATAGTCAAGACAGAAGCAGACTGTGAGGGACTCCAAGAAGATCTCACCAAACTGAGTGATTGGGCAACAAAATGGCAAATGAAATTTAATGTGGATAAGTGTAAAGTAATGCACATCGGGAAAAATAACCCCAACTATACGTACAGTATGATGGGGGCTAATTTGGCTATGACAAATCAGGAAAGAGATCTTGGAGTTATCGTGGACAGTTCTCTGAAAACTTCCACACAGAGTGCAGCGGCGGTCAAAAAGGCAAATATGATGCTAGGAATTATTAGGAAAGGGATAGAAAATAAGACCCAGAATATCTTACTGCCCCTGTATAAAACTATGGTACGCCCACATCTTGAATACTGTGTACAGATGTGGTCTCCTCACCTCAAAAAAGATATTTTGGCCTTGGAAAGGGTTCAGAAAAGGGCAACTAAAATGATTAGGGGTTTGGAACGGGTCCCATATGAGGAGAGGCTAAAGAGACTGGGACTTTTCAGTTTAGAAAAGAGGAGACTGAGGGGGGATATGATAGAGGTCTATAAAATCATGAGTGGTGTGGAGAGTTTAGAAAAGAGGAGACTGAGGGGGAATATTATAGAGGTCTATAAAATCATGAGTGGTGTGGAGAGGGCTGATAAAAGTTATTTATTAGTTCCCATAATAGAAGAACTAGAGGACACCAAATGAAATTAATGGGTAGCAGGTTTAAAACTAATAAAAGAAAGTTCTTCTTCACACAGCGTGTTGTCAACCTGTGGAACTCCTTGCCAGAGGAGGCTGTGAAGGCTAGGACTATAATAGAGTTTAAAGAGAAGCTGGATAAATTCATGGAGGTTAGGTCCATAAAAGGCTATTAGCCAGGGGATAAAATGGTGTCCTTGGCCTCTGTTTGTCAGAGGCTGGAGAGGGATGGCAGGAGACAAATCGCTTGATCATTGTCTTCAGTCCACCCTCTCTGGGGCATCTGGTGCTGGCCACTGTCGGTAGACAGGATACTGGGCTAGATGGACCTTTGGTGTGACCCAGTACGGCCGTTCTTATGTTCAGTCCTGACTCCTCAGGTCTCTTTTCATTCACGAGACCACACGCTCACACAAACACTCATGGACACACTTGCCACTCTGCATTGTACAGCCCAGGGAAGCTGGCATGCAAAGGCACTAAGTCAGTTCCTGCTCTACAGGTCTTTTTTTATTCATGAGAAAATGCACGCTCACACGCACGCACACACACACCCAACCTAGTGCCTTCGCACGCCAGCTTCCCTCGACTATCTGGTGCAGAGCAGCAGCTGGGTATGTGGGTGTGAGGTCTGATGAATGAAGAGACACCCATGGAACAGAAACTGACCTACCGCTTTTGTGCGCCATCTTCCCTGGGCTGTTCAGTGTGGAGCGGCAGCTGGGGGTAAGTGACTAGTCGATAGTGCTAATCAATAAGTTCCTTTTTGTCAGTTAGTTGACTAGTCGCTAACATCCCTAATTGAGATCCCCCAAATCCAGTGGAATTGAATGAAAGTTATGGAAGCTTAGCACTTCTGAAACACAGGCCACTGAGCAGTTTAGTTTGTTCTTCATTTCACCTATGATCTAACGGGCAGAGTGGCGAAGATGAACATGATCCTGGTCACTTGAATAGGCAGTCCTTATGACAGAATAAAAACCCTGGAAAATAATGTAAAGCATGTCATATCTTTCTGGGGGTAGAGAGAAATCTAATCACTGTCTTTGCCATACACCATATCAAAAAACGAATTGTAAAGCAAACTAGCTAAGCATCTGTCAGATCCATTAAGTGGAATCACACTGTAGGTATTCTCTTTAGATGACAGCTGTGGCCATCTGCTCCATATGCACCTAAACATTATACCTGAAAATGGGAAAGTACAGAAGTTCCTCTTTTTGTTCTCTACTTTTTGAATGAGGTTCATATTCTTAAGGTTGATGCCTCATATCATCGGCATGC